TCAGTTGCGTGCAAGGCAAATGCCCTACTCGCTATACAATTGCTCCAGCCCCTGTAAAAATTATTTTCTAACCCCAGAATGCTGCTCTGCCTGGTGCTGGATTCTTAAACTTTTAGGTTTATTAGCTAAACAGTCTAATAATCTCTCAAACAGATTGTTTAATCTGAGTGTCACCTGACTTCTCCTTACAGACCCTAGTCAATGCAGTCATACATAGTTAACCAAAATGATAATAGTTGTGGCTAAGTGCATTTATATTTTCATAGCAAAAAGAAAAGTATCATAAAGTGGCTTAAAAATCTTTTGAGTTTGAGATAAAAAGATTAAAATATAAAACCTATATGAACAGTATTATTCAGTGATTCTGTCACACCCAGAATATACATAAGATTTTCAGTTTTAAGACTTTTTCACAAGTTACTAATCCTTATAAAAGATCACCACACACAGAAAGACATATTAAAAGAGTGGAAGAGAACTCTGATTATCTGTTTTAGAAGAGACAAAATGCTTTTGTGACATTAAATCTCAAGATAGGCATTTTTTAAGTCCCCTAGTATTTCACCACAACATGACTTCTCTTCACTTGGCTGTGATTAGGTTTTTCCCCCAGCTTCCCAAGCTAATCACATTTATCACATGCAGATGTCTGCAAGGAAAGTGTCACAGAATCACCATGAATTGATTTAGTTTAAGAATGTGAAAAGCCCATGAAAAGATTCCTCCAGAATAAAGCAAGACCATTCCACAAGTTTGTCTCACTAGGAAGCTGCTGCTTACTTTCAGAGGAAAGAAGTCTCAGAAGAGCCTGTGATGTATCACTCAGATAGTCCCCAGCCCAATTCTAGGAGGAAAATGGAAAATGTTCTCTCCAAACAAAATTGCTTGTGAGCCATTTTAAACACAGGACAGAACTGAATAAACAATAATGTATGGTTTATCCCAAGTTTATCTCAAACTTGAAGCAGAGCAAAAGAGATGGCAGAAAGCAATTCTCTCTTTAGAACAAAGCAATTCAGATCTAACGGAAAGGGCTATTTTTTGAGGTCAATTCTAGAAGGGTCTCATTCTCCTAACTCTGAAAGAGCCTTGTATATGGCACTTTTTTAAAAAAAATCTCAGGGCTAGGACAAAGGAGACGTTACTGGGGCCTGCTTGAGGCAATCAACGAATAACTCTAGATCCTGAGGCAGCTCCTTGAGTGACAGTCCATAAGGAGTGGGGCAGGGTGGGGGAGTCGCTTCCATCAGCTGCACACCACCAGGACTCCACAAGCTCACAGTTTAGACAAGAAAGTACCCTTGATGGTGAGCAATGTCATCAGAATAGCATGGGAGGGCCTAGTGGGAACCATGAGGCTTGGTGGCCAAGGGAGGCAATCATTGTGTGAGCAGCTATGCAAGGTCCCTGGAACTGCAAGGAGCAGGAGAGAGCGTCCCTGGCAGCAGGCAACACTGCTGAGCTTCCCTTAGAGAGGAGATTTAGGTTTCCAGGAGCCAAGAACAACTTCTGGGACTGGAACGATAGTACAGCGGGTAGGGTGTTCGCCTTGCACACATCTGAATGGGTTCGATTCCCATACGGTCCCCCAAGCACCCCCAGGAGTACTTCCTGAGTCCAAAGCCAAGAGTAACCCCTGAGCATTGCTGAGTGTGACCCAAAAAAAGCAAAAAAAAAAAAAAGAGTTCACAACTTCTCTTCAATATCAGATCTTTCTTTTCTTCTTTGAACAAATGTGAGCTTTCAGTATGAGGTGGTCTTTCAGATCCTCAGAAAAAGACTTTTTAAAGCTAAACTCTGGTGGGGTCTAAAAGATAGTAAAGCAAGTAAAATGCTTGTGCCTTGCACGCAGCCAACCCAGGTTTGATCCCGGGTAGTACATATGCTCCCCAGAGCCCTGCCAGGAGTGATCCCTGAGCACAGCTGGGAGTGGCACCCAAACAAAAATAAAAGTGCTGAACTCTGAATGGAGGGAAATCCAAATAGTAGCAAGCATGAAATGATGAATGGCAGTGAAAGAACAGAGTGGCACTCCAGATGAACACTATCTCTTTCCCAACTCTGAGGACTGGGCAGGGATGACCACGGGACAGATTGCCAAGAACACAACTGAACTATGGAAGTTAGAATCTTGATTTGTATTTACGTATCTAATTGGGGGCTACCTTGTGATGACAGGGATTGAACCAAGATTTCCTGCATACAAACCATAAATTCCAGTCCCTTGAGCCATCAAAGTTAAGCTAATCCTTATCTTCCGATTTTACCAAATTAATGCATGAAACACTCAAAGAAAGAAAAAGAACACTTAAGTTGTAAAAAATTAGGTGAGTTCTGGGTCAAAGAGATAGGGGTTAATGTGCTTGTTTTGCAGTGACTCCCCCAGTTCAATCCCTGGCATGACATGATTCCTCCAGCACTGCTGGAACAATCCCCAACACTGCTGGGTGTGGCTGCACCCCCACCCCAATAGATGAACTAAAACATCTTGAAGAATCTTAAACCTAGTTTCTCTCTTTACCACCTAGAGTGGCAAATTTCCCATAGGTCAGGTAATCCAATGCGCACTGTAGCACTGTAGCACTGTCCTCCCATTGTCCATCCATTTGCTCGAGCAGACCCAGTAACGTCTCCATTGTGAGACTTGTTACTGTGTTTGGCATATCGAATACATCAAGGGTAGCTTGCCAGGCTTTGCCATGCAGGAGAGATATTCTCGGTAGCTTGCCAGGCTCTCCGAGAGGGGCAGAAGAATCGAACCTGGGCCGACCGGGTTGGCCACATGCAAGGCAAACACCCTACCAGCTGTGCTATTGCTCCAGCCCCCGCATTTCATTTTTTACAAACAGACTGAAAAGAGGGCTGGGGATGCAGCACAGCAATAGAACATATGTGATGCATGTGGGAGTCTTGGCCCCATCCCCTGGCATACACACTCAATAACCAACCAACAAACAGGCTGGGAAGTTATCGATCAGCTCCTGTGAGCTTCTGAAAATGGAAGATGATAACAGCAAATAGAAGTTTTAAAGGACAAAATGCCCCCAAACATTACCTAGAGTGAATTTTCAAATCACTTGTAACATTTTCTAAGGATGACTGACCACCTTGATAAAGTGGTAGAAATGAGACTGAGATCATCAATATACACTGAAGAACAGAATTCACAGGATTCTAATTTTTTTATAGAGCAAATGTCAGTTCTTTTTTCTTTTTTTTTTTCTTTTTGAGTCACACCTGGCAATGCACAGGGGTTACTCCTGGCTCATGCACTCAGGAATTACTCCTGACAGTGCTAGGGGAACCATATGGGATGCTGGGGATCAAACCCGGCTCGGCCACATGCAAAGCAAATGCCCTACCCGCTGTGCTATCGCCCCAGCCCCAATTCTTTTCATTTTTAAACCATTGCTTTTCAACTTTTTTCCAACTATGACCTCCTTCTGACTTTATCTCCTTCCTGTGTTCACTATCCTAACAGTTGTCTCGCTACTTTTAGGCTATAGCCCCTCACATGATTTTTACCTTTGGCACCCTTAAAATATCCTGGTGGCCCACAAGAGAGCTATATGACCCCTGGTTGAGAAACTCTAGTATAAACGGTGCCAGACTGTGACAAAAATAACTTGATAGATGGTTTAATAGTGCAATCATAAGAATTCCAATTTTGGAAAGTCAGATGTAGGTAAAACGATTCAAACACCGTAAGTACATTTTCAGTAAGAATGTGATAGCTTTCTTTTTTCTTCTTGGCTTTTAGCCCCAACCCTGCACTCAGAAGTGCTCAGGGCACTTAACTCTGCACTCAGGGATCACTCCTGGCCAGCTCAGTGGACCATATGAGGTAACAGGGATCAAGCCCAGGTTAACCTTGTGCAAGGCAAGCGCCCTACCTGCTGTACTATCTGTACTATCGCTCCAGCCCACTTTCATCCTTTAGGTCAGGTACTGCAGAAAAGACCAATATGAAGAAGTTATGTCTTGAAAACATAGTAACTTAATTGTGTAGGTGGAAGTTAAGGACAATCAGTTTGCAGAACTTGAGAAAATATATGCGCACATATTTTCAGTCACTTTAGTACCATTATAAGAACCTGCCAAAAACCCATACATTACTATTCAATTACCCAAATTTTGGTTTTTGTGTTTTATCAATGAGTAGAAAATAAAAAAAGTATTTTTCTATTAACAGATAGATCTTAATACACACTCATACCTAAACAACCAGCAAAATATAAGCCACTATAGGTAATCTTCAAATATTAATATATATCTGATACAGACACTCATCTACACATTTAAAATATCCCACTTCTATCATTTCTCATTTTTTCCTTAATGTCATGTGAACCTTTCATTTAAAGGGTAAAACAATCTAGATCACCATTACCACTCTATTTAAATATATTCAAGAAAGCCTCCTGGGAAGGTTTCCAGAGAGTTAGATTACTTTAAAATTGGTCATGCATTAAATAAAGCTTTGTCTTAAAAAAGGGGGGGGGAAGGGAAAGAGTAACTGATATGGTGTCTGTACATTCATTCTGTACAAGGTATCTGTAGCTCAAAAGCATTACTCAAATAGCAAATCAGATTACAGCTCTGGAGAATCATACTCTCTCCCTCTCTAACAACCCAGGGAGCTCCCTCAACATAATGAGGGTCAACCACCTGTTTCCTGAAGAATTTGTAATCTACCTTCTCCCTTATTTTCCCCAGGATTCTCCTACTTCACATGTGCACCCGCACCCCGCCCCCACACTTTCATTCCACTGCGTTCACCCTTCATCTCTAAAATGTTCATTAATGATAAACACACAAGGGTTCACTTTAACAGGAAAAGCAGACAGAAAAGCTTCCAGCATTACATTTTATAGTGAGACAAACAAAAAATTCTGAGAGTCTAATGAACTGGAACTAAAGGCCACAGCAGTAAGAGAGTCATTTCTGGGGGCAGTGGAAAAAAAAAATCATTCCTGGGGACCTGATTCTTTTCCTATTACCTGCTTCTGTGTATTTCAATCCCACTTTTTCTTCTGTGTCTTTTGTCTTTGGGGGTGGCCAGACAGCTTGGAGTCTACCAGGAGTCCTGTCATCCTGCTCAGTGGGGCTGTGGTCAGGCTGCTGAAAAAAATAAGCAAAGAAAAGAATCAGTTAAATGAAATGTGATCTGGAAAACATACATATTGACTCTAAGATTAATTTGAATGGCCAGCTGCACACTGCTCTCATTCACTGTAATTGAAACTCTTCATTAGTGAGATTATTTTAGTGTAAAGTGATCAGCTGGGGTGAAAATTTAAAAGACCATGAAATTGAATGAAAATCCAATGCCCAGTATAATACAAGCCTTAATAGATTATTTTTCTTTCATCCTTAGCCTATTATAAAATCAAGTGTGCTTCCAGCTGAATGTAGAAATACAAATGTACTACAATCAGATACCTTAAAAGGAACGTTTATACACATATCCAAGCAACTCTAGAGTTATTTATGATAGACTGGTTTGGTATTTTCCATGAACATTAGCTGTAGGTCAGAGATGAACCTGATATCTCTGAAGCACAAAAGATGAGCTTCTCCAAGTACTCTGAACTGATGCATTTTCCTTAACTTTAAGATAAAATAAAATGAAATCTGTATTACATTAATTTTAAGGAGATGTCTTTACTATAAGGTTATATTGTGCTTAGTTTTCAACTACAACAACTCAAGAAAATTGTTTCTTAAGCATCTTTTTCATAGTAGTATTTTAACAGATTAAATCAATAGTGGGATAAATGAATGCTGCATCAATTTGAGCCAAGCAATTCTATGTGTTGTCATGATGAAATGTTAAGATCTAGAGGGTAGGTTTTTGCCAATCTTCATAAATAACCTGAATGGATTGTCTTTTTCTTTTAATAACAGCTTTCATGACTTTAGATAGTTACCATGAATAATACCAGTTATTATTTTACTGATGAGATTGGTGCTCAGAGATAATCAAGGTCACTCTGGCAGTAATTGGCAGAGAGAAATAATGCCCAGATCTCATTCTAAATCTTGATCAATGCGATCTATAACCTACACAGAACATTTCCGTCACACCACACACACTTATTTCGTCAAATGGTCAACTTTCAAAGAAAGCATTGACTTTCCCCACGGAGGCATAATTAAGTGGTGAGGAAATCTGGACTCTACATCCATAACTGCATTACTTTCACATGTTGCTTACCTTTCACAACAACATTTACTGTTAATGTTTAAACAGAGCGAAAAGCCTCCCTTGCCTCCCCGCCCCCAACACGCCTTTACATAGGTCCCCCCACCTTGTACCAACCCAGAATACATAATAACCTCTGTCAAACTCAAGCATCCTTAAAGGACAATTTAATTCCATTATAATCATCTTTGAGAAGGAAAAATAAAATCCAACTACCAACAGGTAGCCCGCATTCGTTTTGACAGGACACCTAAAAGAAATTACAGATTGGCATTCTATGTCAAAGCACAAAAGCCAATGCTACATACACTTCTGGGATCACTGGGGCCGTCCGTGGGCCTTGCCTTGGACCGCTCAAACACGGCTCGCAGGGACTCCTTCTCGTATTTCATCTTGCGCTTGAGGGCTTCCAGCTCAGAGGCGTCGGCAGTCGTCCCCTTTTTGGGGGGACGGATGAACAAGGCTTTAAAGGCCTCCAGGGCAGACTCCGGGGGCTTTGGCTTGACCTCTTCATCCAGGGCCTGGGCTTCTGCCGGGCCACCATGGCTCCCCTTGGCCACCCCGCAGCCCATCTCCTCTCCCGGGTCCGGCTCAGGGTCCTCTGCCTTGAGTTGGGCTTTGGGCATGTCCAGGTTGAGCAGCTGCGAGATCTGCTCCAGGAGAGTGGGAGGGGCCTTCGGATCAGCTGCTCTCTGCTCCCCGGGCTTCACGCTCTGCGGCCCAGCCTGCCCCAAGGACTTCTGCACCGGCTGGGTCAACCTGAGCAAAGCCAGGTCTCCATCCTTGGGTTTGATTTCAGTGATGGACTCTCCTTCCTCCGCTGGCACCCCCTTCTTCAGCACTCGCAGCCCACTAAAGAAGGCCGGAAGCTGGAATGACTTCTCTCCAGGGCCCTCTTTGGGAGAAGACACGTTCTCTTTGGCACTGACAATCAGGGTCGAGTCTGTTCCCACTGTGACCACTGGCGAAGCTTCCCCAACAGGATCCTGGCCAGGGTCCCGCTCGGTAGGCCCCTGCTCAGTCCTGCCCTCAGGTGGAATCCTCGTAGGTCCTTCTGATGAGAGCTGAGCATTGTCCCTGTCCCCAAGGGCATCCTGGCCCAGACAGTGTTCTGGCTCCTCTGAGGACCCCTGAGAGGGCTCACATGCAGCAGCACTCGGGGGCTCTTCAGGTTCCCCGTCACCATCCTCAGAGTCTGAGTCCTGGGTGATGTTCACCAGGGTCCCCTGAACCAAAATGACATCCTCTCTGCTGGCGCTCGGAATGGGGAGTGGAAGTGATTCTGGGCCCGGGAGGGAAGCCCCCAGCTCCTCGGTGCCTTCACTTCCCTCCATCTCCATCCCAGGCTCAGCCTGGGCATCCGAGCTCGCGGTCAGCACATCAATCCCCGGCTCAGGAGGCCTGGGGGTCTCCAGCTCCAGCTCCCGGGGGCCCAGGCCTGGCTCCTCCCGTCGGGGCGAGGGATCCCCAACGCCTAAACTGCGGAACGCCTTCAGCACCGCATCTTCCTCCTCCGGCTTCCCGGAGTCCAGTTTACTCGTGAAGCTAAAGAAGGTTTTCATTGAGAACTTGCTCAGGATGGACTGGGCCATTTCGAGTCCGGTGTCGGTTTTCTCGGGCTCCGACGCATCCCGGCCATCCGGGGTGTCCCCGCCGTCCTCCATGTCCCGCCGGCGGCGGCGCCCTGGTGCAAGTTCAGCCTCGGCGTTACCTGGCGCGGCTCGCTCAGCGTATCCACTCCATGCGCTCGGAAACTCACTTTTCCAGGGCACAGAACTGAGGGACACGGGGGCCGGCCGCCACGGCGGGCGCTCTGGGGCTCTGTCGGGTGACACGTTCGCCCCGCCCGCCCTCGGGTTCGCCCCAAAAACCGGGTAAAGTCCTGGCGCTCTCTGCCCGGCGGCAGGCGAGGCAGCGCACCTTACTACACAGGGACGCACCGGGCTGGCTGCTCCTCTGGGACTTCCGTATTTAGTCCGAGGGACACAAAAGGCTTTTTGTCGTTGAGAAAAGTCAGCTTGCCCCGGGCCATCCCAGCCAGGACTGCACGGCCGCGAGCTCCGCCCCAGTGCCCGCTGCGCTCCTGGCCGTTTGCAACTTCCTCATTGGCGAGTAAGTTGAGGCTTCGGGAACTGCTGAGCTGACAAGCTGATCCTCCCAACCCTCCAACTACCGCCTGGGAGCAGCCCAGGAAATGCAAAGAATGAATCAGCAGAAAATGACTGAACTTCTTACTACCCAGCCCTTCCTTGGACATCTAAATTAGGATCAGAAGCCTGTGCCTTCCAGGCCAAAAACAAGAGCCTTAAAATCCCCAGGAGGAAAGACTGATCTTCAGCCACGTAGCCCACAGCAAAGAAATGAATTGGTTCAAAGGGGCCTCAGCTCCACAAGAAATCATTCACTGCCCTTGAAGTTTGGTTGTGCTTTGTTGTGTTGTGTTTTGCTTTCTTTTAAGTGCTTTCTTCCCCTCCCTGCAGTTTTATCTGGAATGCAGATTTCAGCTGCTGGGGCCCCCAGAGGAAAACCGACAAACTGGTTTCGTATTACTGCTGTTTTAGCTCTGCCATGGAGTCTCCGTGCTCTGCAAACAGGTGCTTAAGGCAAGTACGTCCACCACACCCAGTGTCCACCAGTCTTTGGGTGGCAGTGTAAACAGCCCCAGCCTGGCAGGAATGATTGCCCTCCACTCCTTCTGCCAACCAGGTTTCTGCTCAGCAGCTTGATTTCCCCGCGTTCCCCGGGATCCTAGCGACCCAGGGAGAGCCAGCCCCTCTGGGCACCGTGATCCAACCAACCAAAGAAAATCTGCCTTGATAGACAGAGCGATTCATCCCGGATCCCTCAGCAGCCACTTGAATAAGATGCTGGGAACCTGGCCACGGAGGATATGGAAAAATTGCAGCTGTTTCCTAGCTGCATGTCTTGGGACAGCTGCTTGAAGATCTCAGCACTCTTCAAATCCAGGTGAGCAAGATGCTCTGCTGGATCAGAAGAGTGAAACTGACCTAACAATTATCACCAGGTCTCTTGGTGCAAAGCTGCAAGAAGAACTGGCCAAGTGTTGAACACAAACAGCAATTTATAAAATCAGCATTGTACCCACAGGCAAAACTTGCTTTAAGTACTCTAGGGCTGTGGGTCACCTGAGCCCTGTTTCCCAGTGAGTGGAGAAATTCAGACTGTGATCACAGATTTCCATCAATGTGCTGAAAAACACAAACGAAAAGCATATATATACCTACATACTAATTCATGTTATTAACATACTTTCATCAGCCCTTTTAGAAAGTTCAGAAAAATACTAATCTCTTATTTGAACTTTTGTCTAAGTGGATAAATGGATTATCTAACTGAAGTTCCTAATCCTGGTTTATTGGAGATGGAAGGCGGGTGGAAATTAACTATTCAGAGTATTTGTTTGTGGACCACGCCCAGAGGTGCTCAGGGCTCTTGGGTGCAGGGGGCCTTATACAGTGTAGGGGATCAAACAAGAGATGACCACATGCGAGGCAAGCATCTTAACCCCTGTACTATCTCTCTCAGTCCTGCATACTTACTCAAAAAAATAACCTGGACATGTAGAAAAAGTCAATGGTCCTGTTTTAAGTCTCAGAGTAGGCTTCCTGTCTAGAGGAATTCTCCACTGATAAAAACAGACTTCTGCTTCTTCATGACTCAACATAAAAGGCATCACCATAGCAGATGGTAAGATGAATCACCTATTTCTTGTTTGGGTTTTGGGTCACACCCACAATGCTCAGGGTTTACTCCTGACTCTGTGCTCAGGCATTACTCCTGATTTTGCTTGGGGGACCAAAAGGTGGTGTCTGGAATACTAACCTGGGTTAAGGAATGCAAGCCAAGCATGTTACCTGCTGTATTATCTCTCTGTCACTGAGATGAATCTTCTTAA